ACAAATTACCCCCAGAGCTGTTTCATGTGGCCCATTGGGCTATTAGAGGACTACTAGAAGCTGGGGGCATGACTAGAGACAGCATGGCATGCTGCAGAATTTGGAGTTCCTGGGCTCTGCTGGACATGCCCATTGATGGCAGAGGGTGTGAGCAAGGGCTGTGACACAGGCAAACTCACCCTGCCATACTGGACCCCAGTCTGCCAATGCCATTGCCAGATCCAGCTGCCTTTGCAGCCACTGTCCCTGCAGATCCAGCTTGGGAGGAGAACCACTGTCCAGATCCAGCCTGGTGCAGGTTTAATACCACTGGTCTAAGCCTTCAAAATCACTTGTGATAAAAGAATTTCAAAACTACTTCATACTTTACTACATGATGACTCAGGGGAAATACAATCAGAAAGAAAGAAAAGTAAATTGATCATCAGGCAGCCTGTCTTCTTTCAGAAAACAGGGTGATCTGATGCCAAGTGCTGAGACAAAGGCAAACATGAGGACAGTATTCAGCTAAAATGACCCTGCAAAATTCCCACTATAAAATTAAGCTAAAACCCTCTCTGATCTGAGATTATTACCCCCTGTCCCAATATCCCTGTAAATACAACAAACAGTAAAAAAAAAAAAAAAAGAAAGAAAGAAATATTGAAGGACGTATTTCCCCAGAAAGTATTTCTCAAAGTCTCAAAGCACGGAAAATACTAATTTTAATGCTTGGATAATTCAAAAGCTGTTTAGCAGATTTCTCGAAACTTTCCAGAATTTTTTTACTTCTGGGCTCAAACTAGACATGAGAAATTTCGCCCCAAAAGGTAATTAATTTTTTTTTTTAAGTACATAACTTATTGGAAAGATGAGGTTTAAAATGAAAAGGCCTATTTAACCATTAGTAAGCCACATCAAACTTGAATAATTTAACTAAAATTAGTTATTAAACTATAGTTCATTGCATAAATTGTACACAAATAATGTCTGAATGGATACATTCACTCATGTGTAGTGCAGTTGCCAAATATTATCGAGGAAGCTTTCTGAGTAACATGACGTAGAAGCAAAGGATATAGGAAACAAGAGACACTATACATTTATTAACAAGAATCCATCTTTACAAATGAAAGGCTTTGACATCTTCCCAGATCAAAAATCCAATTTTACAGCACTAGGAGATAAAGAATTAAATAGAGTATAGATAACATCTAAACTGGTATTAAAAGGTTAGCAGTCCTTAAAATTGATTAGTCACCAAGAACAGACAGCCTACAACCCAGGCTGTTTTAAGAGTATTGGCAAGATATTGCAGAAGCTTGAGCTGTCACTTCTACAAACTTAGTTCAGGAGACAGCCCTGCAGACTGCAAAGTGGTCAGCACACTTCTACCACAGGCCACAAGTTCCGAACTATTGCACTACATTTACATTAATAACAATTGAAGAAATGAGTAAAAAACTGTAAAAACTTTTAGCAGATCAAATGTAGGAACAGCAGAGGGGGAACACTGCTCTGAAGGCAAAATGAAGGGTACAGAAAGCAATATATGAATGCTAAAGAAGTCTACTCTGTTTGTAGGATTAATAAAAACAATAAACAATAGAGTCAGGAAGGATTAAAGATTATTTCAACACTTAAGCTAATACAGTGGACATAAATTGTAGTTCAATGCAGGTACAGCAAATGTACTATAATGAAATATGGCTGTAATTCTTTTCATGGTGAATTGTTGCAAAAATCATGGAACTGCCATGGTGAAAACCGTCAAAAACTTATAAATCATAGGGAAAAATGTAAGGGTGAAGTTACATGTTAAGTTACCATACTAAATCTGTTGAATGTTATGTGGTGTTAAAGTTAGAACGTGGTGTGAGCCGCTTCACATTAAGGCTATGTACTGACATCAGGGGTGGTTATATCGATTCCAAATCGCTGCCTGATATCAGGTAAGTTGGGACAGAAGGGCTAGCAGCAGGGTATCTGGGGTCCACCAGGGGATGGGAGGGCATGTGCAACCCATGCGTGGTGTGGAGGGGCAGCCCATGGGTGGGGTAGGGGGTCAGGTGTGACCCACAGGTGGAGTGGGGGAGGCGCAGGCATGACTTATGGATGGGATCAGGGGCAGGCATGATCTGTGGGATGTTGCCAGGGTCTGGAAATGTCTGATAGGATCAGGGTACTTGCAGGAGCTTCAGGGCAGCTTGGGGGAATCACAGGCTATTTTGTGCCCCCCAATGACCCTGGTGAACCTACGCCTCTGTTCATCACCACACTTATCATCCCCCCATACTTGTTCAGCTCCAGCAGTGGTGAACACTGATAAAAGCAGCTTGCAGAAATGAGGGGGAGGCTGACTGATCTGGGGGGGAGGGCTGGGAGGGAAGGGACCAGGGGCCAAAAAACAGCCCAGTGCTGGAGGAAGGGACATGAAAAGTACAGCCCTAGGGCTGAGGCCAGTGACTGGGTTTTCCCAGCCCCGAGGATGCACAGGGAAAGTGTATAAAAGTTCCATGCACTGGTTTGACCTAAATCGAGTAAGTTTTATACTACATCAATCCAATTTTATCTTAAACCAGGTTCCGCACTTTTTAGACCATTTGTATGCATGGAATTTCTGTACAGTTACAGGTTTAGATTGATTTCTGGTCACTGAGACTGGGTCTGTAAGTGTAAGGTCAGCATTGGGACGAGCTAAATTCAAATTGGGTGGCCATTTTGAACCCAATTTAACCTCCCCAAATGTCTGTATTTAGCCTAAGGTTTCAAAAAAGTGTTCTTGTCTACACAACTCTGACTTGCCACTAGAGGGCTGGCGAGCAGGGGCATAGCTAAGACAGACACCTGGGCTCCAGCTCTGCTCTGGGTTGGGGAGGGCTGGGAGGACTGCAGGTTGCTTGTTTGATCTCCATGGAGCAAACTGAAGTTATGCTAACTTGAGCATGGCCCAAAGTTAACCCTTGCCTGAAGTGGCATAAGTTTGAGATGCTTAGAGGACACTTAGCACAAGTTAACAAGCTTTAGCCTGCAGACACTCACATTTTAAGTGCCCTTAGTACAGTCAAAAATAACATGCCACTTCACCCTAAAATGCCAAAGCACGAATTTAGCAGAGGATGTACATGATACAATGTTTTATACAGTGAAAAGCAAAGTGGATGAGAAAAGGGGACTGTTCTATTCCTAAACAGAAATAAGGAGATGTTCCTGTTAAGTCATAAATATTTTTTACTTATTTCACGCTTACTCAATAGTTAAGAAGGCAAACAGAATAACAATCAGGGTGACAGTGAAATCTCTGGCCTCCTCCAACAGGTGAATTATAAAAATTTCTGCCTGTGTAAATATCTTTGCCTTAGTGATGACTGCATATGAGAAGCCAAGAGCAGAATTTGCACAAAAGCTGGAGCCGTGGAAAGAGGGGGCACATGAGTTGATGGGCTAAAGTACAACTGCAGCACTGATTAAAGGAAGCAGAAGAACATGCCTCTGATGTCAAATCAAATCATTTCTAGATTTGAAGATAATTCTGTCAAAGTTTAGTAAAATATATTTAAAGGGTATTTTTATTTTATGTTTGTTTTGGAGGGAAGAATATGTTTGAGGCCCTGTCCTCATCTTGATGGCATTTCTTTATTAGTCTTTCGGTCTGTCTGTTATGCAGTAGCTCTAAATCAACACATCCAATTAATTCAAAATTGCAGGGATTGTTCTAGGTTCCATATAGGCAGAACCCTGAACATCAGAAACATGGAAGAATGCAATTTCCATTGGCTTCAGGGAGAGGAATCTATATGATGCACCCTGTTCCTGCCTATACATTTCACAAGCATTAGTTTAATATGCTGCTCTCTCAAAGGATGTACTGCTCAGACTACCATGTAGCCCTCTGGCTTATTTACAGACCTCAGCACCAATGCAGTAAAAGGAGAAAGTGTCTGCAACAGGATAAGATTGTATACTGGGAATGTTGGATAGCTAATGGTGAGAACAAGGACTGGGAATCCACTCATGATCTGCATGAACTGTACTCCTGATCTGGACCAACTCACTGTCACCCTTCTGCACAAGAACTAATTCTGAGCCAGACTGTCAGCTGCCATACGCTGGCTTAATTCCATTCAGAAGGGAATGCATTTGACCAAATTTAAACTTCACAAGTCCATGATGAGGCAGACCCAGAGCTCTGTTGAATTATGACAGCTGGGAACCTGGCTCACCACATCTACTTCATGGGAGGACTCTGAATCTTATTCAATGCCAACCAGTCCAGCTCCTTGTAAAATCAATTGCAAAACTTATGTAGACTTTAGTGTGAGCAGGTTGAACCCGAAATATTTCTAATGTGCAAAGCATTCTGTGTATTATTGTTGTAAAGATTAAGGGATCCATTTCAGAGCTCTCATAAGCTGTAAATGAAATAAAGTCAAATGATATTAGCCTCTGAAAATTGATTTATGGAAGTATAAAAACAGGAAAAGCATGATGGGAGGGCATCTGTTTTACACTCAGCAAACGGTATCAGTTGACATGGAGAGCAAGAGATTCACATTTTTTTCAGCATCTATTTTTATCTGCACTTTTCTTTTGTCAGCATAACAACAATCTTCCTCCAGTCAGGAGGTTGCAGCCAGTGCCCATGCTATTCCTTGGCATAACCTCAAGAAAAGCTGCTAGAAAAGAATATCAGCCCTTTTTTCTCAAGGACTAAATATATCCCATATGTGACCCTCCCCCCAGGCCTTGACCTAGTACAGAGCCTGGAGATCGATGGTTTAGCACTCTAATTTCCCCAAAGAATTCTGGCTGTTTCACAAGGTTAAAATACAGTATGGATTACGTACATATTATACATGGAGACTAATACATAGCATGCAATATTAATCAGAGAAGCTTTGCTCCTACAGAATTTGTTCTCAGAATATACAAATACATGTCTTCAGAAAGGTTTTCAGATGTTTTAGAAAAGGACATAAAAATCCAGAGATTTGCACAGCAAACCTTTAACAAAATCTTACCCGTCACAAGCTGTTGTCCAGCTAATCCTACTGGAACCATCCCCAGGTTATTCATAGCAGTAGCCCAAGCTGTTGGATCAGTGACTGACATGTTAAGTTGCGTGGTGTCTATAGCAATACTTCCCAAACCATCAGCAGCTGTCAGAAAAGAATCCAAATCTGAGTTTAAAAATCAACATGTTGCAAGGTTTTAAAAAAAGAAAACCTCAATGAAAACAAAAAATGATAAGATTTGTTGTTAGTGTGATTCATGTTACTTAAGCAGATGGAAGGCGAGGATCAGCAATAAATGAAGATATTGTTCTGTTCAATTGGGCTTATCATTTAATTCTATCTAATCAGTAGCAAATACTCTGTGAAAGACCCTGGGGGCCTGGTTACACCTTATGCTATAAGCTGCACAAATGTTAATAGGCTTCGTGTTGTTCGGCTTAGTGGAGCAGTCACACCTTAAGATGCAAAACCATCTTTGACTGTCACTAGAGGCTTGGTGAGCAGGGGCAGAACTAGGAGCTAAGTGCAGAACTGGGTCCCTGCTCCCATTGGGCAAAATGAGCGCCGCAGCCCCGGAGCACCTGGCAGCTGCAATACCTCCTGCTGCTGCCCAAACTGCCTAAAAGAAGGCACCTAAAATTACAGTGTAACAAGGCCCTAAGGATAATGGTGCTCTTTGCTCAACCTCTGGTTTGCAGGCTAGATCAGGCCCGTGGGTCTGGAAATTTGCAGGTGGGGGAACAGTGGGAGCATTAATTTCTGTCCCCCTGCTGCCAAATTTCTGGACCTGCAGGGTGCCCTACAGACAAGATGATGTGACCCTATGCACTAGATGCACCCACCAGTGTGCATTCTCACAGTGGAGCCAGTGCACCACCATATCTGGTATGCAGGGTTGGGCCATGTGCAGGGTCAGGCCAGCACACAGTCAGATCTGGTGTGTAGGGCTGGGCCAGCACATGAGATCACAACTGCAGATTAACCCCCCACATTGATCCTGGCTGGCAGATGAACAACATATATGGGATCTGGCCAGCTCACTAGCCCTGCAGTACTCATTTGGCTATTGGAACCAGATAGGTTGAACACCTCTCCTCAAAGACTTCAAGACAGACAAAGGCAAGACACATTTTTCATTAAATACAGTTTATAACAGAAATCTTAACATTACTTAGGTACTTAGATAAGAAAAGCTCAAATCAATCTCATTTCTCTCAGTGAATTATCATTAAGTACTACCTGAACACAAACATCCATCAAAACTAATGCTTCCCAGGCAAACAATATGAGGTTATTAATGATATTTTTGTGAATATTGCAGAGTGCAAATATTTACCTGCAGCCATTGTTTTATCAATCCTTTTGTTGCTCTTTGACTTCTTCAGCTAAGAATGTGTTCACTAATATATTAGTAACATCTTGAGACTCGATGTCATTGAATGTAGGGTCCACAAACAGTTCATGAAGTGCTGCAAGAGGGGGCAAAAAAGTCATTAAAGGTTTCTTTCAGAGCATTATCTCAAAACAACAGATCACAACTAAAATTTACATGAAGGTCCTGTACACCTACAACTGGATCTCCAGTCCCATTTTAGTTGCACACCATTTCAACAAACCTGCATTCTTGTTGACTGAATTAACAGTGCCATGTATGAACCTATCAGAAGTGTTGCCTCTGGCTGAAAAACCTTCACAAAATAGGTCTTGTCAGTGCCTACACAGCCTCCTCAGTATGCAGGCATCAATTGAACGAATATATTTAAGACTGCATAAGAATGTTTAAAAACTTAAAAATTAATTGATGTAGTGAGTTTTGAGGAAACAGTCTCCTGTTGAATTTATCCCTAGATGAAGGAAAAAATACCAAAGAATGGTTTAAAGAATGAGCACAAACTGGGAAATGAACAGAATTGAAAAGTTATGGATGACACCTTTGTTTTGAACAAAAGTGATATCCTTAGCACACTAGTATGGAAGTTAAGGTGGAGAGTCAGGCTCCATCTGTAATGTCTTTGATGCTGTTAAGTTGCTGTCACAACATGAAGTTTTATGCAAAGGTAGCATCTTTTGTTTGTGAATCTCATGTCTATGTACTGCAGATAAAAAGGATTTGGAAAAAAAAAAGCAGGTAACCCAATATGTAAAAGCTGTCATTGTATGACCCTTACAGTAAAGAAAGCATTTTTGTTGGTTGAGATAAAACACTTATCTCAGGTTATTTTAGGTCTTTTATGAACATTTCTTATGTAACCAATGGCAGTGAGTTCTTTGGAGCCTTTCCAGTCTCATGTTTGCCTGGCAAACCAGTAGCTCGAAGGGCCCAATCCAGCACTCAGTAATGTCACCAAAAAATCGTTAGATATGTTCGCTTTACCTTACTGAAAAAAATCTTTACAAACAAGTTCCTGAGAGGTAAGTTAGGGTCTGAATTTTCAGTTTTAACTCTGTAGTAACTGCCTCTTTGCACACTCTGATCCCACTGAGTTACCCCACAATGAAATAAGATAAGTTGCCTTTCACGGGCATAGGAAAATGTGCACACAGGCAGTTACTGCAGGGTTATCTGATGCACTGTAAGGTCCCTTCCTTGCTTCTTCCCCCCACACCTGCCACCAACTGGCAACTGTCAGCAATGACTGGGTGGGGAAGAGGGAGGGATGGAGTCCCCCTGCCATGTGGCCACCCCCAACTCCCTCTGATGGGGTTTTGGGAAGAGGCAGGACAGGCCTGTGAGACAGGGGGGCTCTATTGCCCTCCCCACCCCAGCTCCAGGCACAACAGCCAAGATGCTCACATGCGGGGGGAGAATGGAGCCCCCTTTCATGTATGCTCCCCCTCAGCTACCTCTGCTGGGGTCTTGTGGGGAGCCAGGCTGGGCCACCACAGTAGACCATTGAACCCAACCCAACCCAGCTACCCCCAAGATTGCAACCTGGGTAGTTGGGGTGGGGGAGCTCCCTTCCCACATCCCTCCTTCCTTCCCCCATTGCAAAGCCCCAAGGGCAGGGCTGGGATGGTGCTCACCAGCACGAGCCCCAGCCCAGCCATGCAAAGCCACATGCGATGTGGGCAGAACTGCCCAAAATTAACCCTCATAGGGAACCCATCTACATAGTTGCTAAGGTACTCTGCTTTAGAGTGCCCCTGTCTGATACTTCTTCAGCAAGGACCCTGGTTTTCTCAGATTTAAAAAAACCCTAATTTTTGGTTTAAAAACAGTAACCCCAAATCTACATTTTTTCTGTGATTTAAATGAAAACCACTAATATATATAATAGTGTTTCATTTAAATCTTGGAAAAATGTGGTTTGGGATTACATTTATTTTTTAAACCAAAAATTGGGAATTTTTTTTAATCCGAGAAAGCCAGGATCCCTGCTCATCAACACGGGTTAAATTTTCATGTGATCAGCCATTTCAGTAACTGCTCTGCAGCTGTGAATGTTTGTTATATTATGGCTGCAGCGTGTTTTCAGGGGCCTCATCACACAAAAAATGTAACTTATGTAAATGCCCTCAGTTAACATGCTTTTGACTGGTTGAATTATTTGGTCCATAAGCTATCTAATACTTAGTACAGTCCACTTCCTCTTCACTTATCATTCAGAAATTATTCCTGATTTCTGCATGTCTCATTCACGAGCATATGTTCAGCCTATTGACAGCTTGCAGACTATTTGTTTTGACTATGTCTTTTACCAAAATGTCTGAAACTTTTCAGATATGTGATTATTTTCATGAATGAACCATGAGTTGTCAAAATTCCTGTGAACAACGAATAAAACAGTGAACCTATGGTTCTGTCATTAATTCACAAGTCAGCCACCTTTTAAGGCTGTGGGCTCTTGTGACCTAGTTCAGCTAGTCCCTCCCCTCCCCACCCTGCTGCCGTTGTTTTTCCCTACA